GCCTGTCTCCCAACTGCCACACGTTTGTTGACAGACAGATTGGATCTCCTGCACAGGTACAACTCAGTCAGGAGTCAGAACAATAGGGAGTTTCTATAATTCTCATTGACAGTTGTAAACTGAGAGATGTCTGCAATTCCTGGGGCACAGCTCAGGACGAAGACAGCGTGGGACAAACAAGTAAAAAGTGTGATTGTCCCAACAAATCTGAGGCAGTTGGCAACTACAGGCTTGTATTCAGCTGCAAAGAGGTTTGAAGTGGAGTATGTCAGTCAAGAACATATTTCATTAATTGGCCAAAGACAGGCAGTGTTAGGCAGCCCATACATTGATTGTTTTTTTTTTTCTTTCAACCAGCAGGTTGAACAAAAAAAATGATCCGATTCCTACATCCACATATTCAAAGTGGATGGGATAAACACTTGTGTTGTGATATAGTATTCTGACAGTGGGGGGGCCTTCCCTGTCATCAGAATACAATGATCAGTGTTAGCGGAAAAACCAACAGGCTGGTGGTACACAAGTTGATTGATAGATTGACTTGTGTACAACCAGCCTGCCCATACATGGAATGAAATTTGGACAGTCCCTGCTGAACTGGCTGAATTTTAATCCATGTATGTATGCCACCATTCGTAGCCTCGGCTGTCAATCACCAGGTCCCGGCCTCTGATCTCCACAAATTACCGACAGGGGAGAGACCTGTGCATAAACATCACAGATCTCTCCCTTGTTAGCTCCTGCAAACTGCTTTGTATGGCTCTGCATAGCAGAGCCATACAAAGCAGTGTGCTTACAATTGAAAGCACAAACACAGCACACAATGAAACAGCACACAGTTAACCCTTTGATCGCCCCACATGTTAACCCCTTCTTGCCCAGTACCATTAGTACAGTGTCAGTTCTTTTTATTAGCACTGATCACTGTATTGGTTTCACTGATGATCAGTGTGTTACTGTGAAGTACACCCCCCCCGCCCCCTAGTAAAACACTCCCCTCACACAGTTAACCCTTTGATTGCCTTCTAATGTTAACCACTTCCTCCCCAATGCCATTAGTACAGTGTCAGTGCTTTTTTTTTTTGCACTGATCACTGTATTGGTGTCACTGGGGATGTCAGTGACCCCAAGTCAGTTCCCCCCCATGTCAGAATGTCCGCCGCAGTCTCGAATTTCCACCATAAGTCACTGATTGCCGCCATAAGTCGCTGGTCACCGCTATTATTAGTATAAAAAAAATCCAGTATCTATACCGCCATTTGTAAATGCTATAACTTTCACGTAAAAAAGAAATTTAATTTACACATATTGGGATTTTTTTTTTAGCAAAAACATGTCGCAGAATACATTTTGGCCTAAATTTATGACGAACTTTGATTTTTAAATTTTTTTACTGGACATGTTTTATAGCGAAAAGTACAAATATTGTTTTTTTTCAAAATTGTCAGTCTTTTTTTTTTATAGCGCAAAAAACTAAAAACGCACAGGCGATCAAATACCACCAAAGAAAGCTAAATTCGTGGGGAAAAAAGGATGCAAATTTCATTTGGGTGCAGCATTGCATGACCACGCAGTTGTCAGTTAAAGTAACACAGCGCCATAACACAAACCACTTCTGTAACCGCTTCCTGACCATCCTATAGCAGAAATACTGCTACAGGGTGGCACGGTTGCGCAAAATTACATATATATATATATATATATATATATATATGCATGATTCACGCTCCCATGGTTTTCACACCCCTTCCAGATAGCGTCAGATTGGCCGTCAGTATACCAGTCATCACATTTAACCCCTTGACTGCCAGGAACACGCTCATACACAATAAACCTCCATTGCTAGGTATAGTGTCTGAACGGATCAATATCTTTGATCAGATCAGCACTATACCAGCGTTCACATTAGTATAGCATCCCCAAAAACGCACCTGCCAGCACCTAGGGTTAGTACTTACGCTTACCCCCCCTTCTCCCCCAGCAAGTGCAGTGTCAGTAGGTCACTGTCACTTGATACATTGCACACAAAACTGCAGTGTTTGCAGAATCAGGCCTGATCTCTGTTAGCACTTGCTGGTAAATTTTGATGACTGTCATATGCAGCCAAATGCCAGTACTAGTGCCGCGCTACCTTTTGGTGAACTGGCGAGCACCAGCGGCCTAGTACATCCTGGTCTTTCACATACCAGTATCACTTGGTGACATGGCAAGTCCCGTAAGTATAGTACAAGCTGGTGCAGTGGCGAGCACAAGTATTGTCCTGCAACCACCAAGAAATTGCACACAGGCCCATAGAGCCCCTAGTATCCTTCCAGATGTGCTTGAAAATCCCAATTGGCAGCCCACAAATTCTGAAGCAGCTGTACTTCCCCCATTCACTGCCAACCCAGAATTCAGGTGGAAACAGCAAATTTAACTACTCCCCTTGATTTTTTGGAGCTGTTTTTTACGGAAGTTCTGTATGCATTGATTGTGAATCAAAGCAATTTATATGCACAACAATTTTTTGCTGCCAACCCAGATTCAAACCTTGGAAGACCATTCGCATGGAAACTCATTACGGTTTCAGAATTTACATTTTTTTTGGATCTAACCCTCAACATGGGAATTACTAAAAAAAAAATGAATTGCAGTTGTATTGGTCCACAGACCCGATTCATCATATCCAGTGTTCTCTGCTGCCATGGCCAGGCATTGATATGAAAGTATAATGTGTTTTATGCATTTCAATGACAATACACTCTGTCGTCCTTGGAGTGACCCTGAATTTGACCAGCTCCACAAAATTCAGCCGCTCGTAAATAATCTTAACCAAAAATTTGCAGATGTCTATACTCCCCAGCAAAAAATCTGCGTTGATGAGTCCCTCATTAATTTTTCTGGCCGCCTTGCATGCATTTAAACAATTACTCCCCAGCAAGCGTGCCAGATATGGGGTCAAGATGTATAAGACCTGTGTGGGGGCAACAGGCTATACATATACGTTTCAGATTTATGAGGGAAAAGATAGTCACGTGGAGCCCCCCGGATGCACAGACTACATGGGGAGCAAGATAGTTTGGGACTTGGTGTCATCCTTTTTCCATATGGAGTACCACTTATACGTGGACAATTTTTATTCAAGCGTACCACTATTTAGACATTTGCACAATCTTGGAACTGGTGCATGTGGCACCGTGTGACCTAATATGTGCCCACCATTAGAAGTGGGTGGATGCAAGGCGGTATATTCTAATGGTTGGCATACCAAACACTTTTTTCTGGCAGAGATTTCTTCTCTTTTTTTCATTCAGCCCACATACAAAAAAAAAAAGAACATAGAAAAAGAATATATACCCAACAAGGACCAGCAACGTACATCACTGGACTTTGAATGGTTGTACCAGGATGATGCCTACAGCTGCAGGCATCATCCTGGTATCATTTTTTTCAGCTGTCGATCGGCTTTCATGTAAAAGTGATCCTAGTGGCTAATTAGCTGCAGGATTGCTTTTACAAGCAGCAGGAGATGATCCCCACCCCTCCCTCGCTGACGGTCATGGCCTTCTTGAGCAGTCCCGTGCCATCGGGGAAACCTGAGAATGCAGCTGATGTTTCTGCCAGCTGACTATAAAGCTGATTGGCGACCAGAATGGTGCCAAATCATCTCTATAGTCTAAGAAATCGGAAGCTACGAGTATTTCATCACTTCAGTTTCGCAGGATATAAACAGTGCTATTTGTAAATTGGGAAAGCATCTGATCACACCGATCTTGGTTTGATTAGATAATGTAAGGGTAGAGGAGAGATCTAGAGTCTGATTTCTCCCCCAGATTTCTCAAAAAAGAATATATGACAATGCAAATTGAAGTTATAGGGGTTATTTGCATTCCCTGTGATAGCATTAAAAGCAATAAAAAAAAATGAAAGGGACAGTGTAAAAATAATTTGAAAAATCAAAATAACTTAAAAAAAAAAAAAAAGCACCCTCGCCCCCCCCGCGTGCACACACCTAGATGAGCAAGCTTTGACCATGTGACGGTATGTAAACAGCAGTTGCACCATGCATTTGAGGTATCGCTGTGAATGTCAGATCAAGGGCAGTAATTCTAACACTAGACCTCCTCTGGAAATCTAAAATGATAGCTTGTAAAGGCTTTTAAAACATTGCCTATGGATATTAAAAATGTATGCAATTTGTCGCGATTGCACGGGGCATGCACAGTTTTAAAGTATGTAATGTTTGGTATCTATTTACTCAGCATACCATTATATTTTATACTTTACCAAATAATTGGTAATTAGTTCTTCTTCAAAATTTTTGGTGTTTGATTATAGCGCAAAAAATAAAAAGTGCACAGGTGATCGAATACCACCCAAAGAAAGCTCTATTTATGTGAAAAAAGGATGTAAATTTTGTTTGGGTACAGCATTGCATGACTGTGCATTTATCAGTTGAAATAGTGCAGGGCAATAGCAAACAGAGGCCTGGTCATTAAGGGGGTAAATCCTCAGGATGGCAAGTGGTTAAAGCGATTGTAAAGGCAAATGTGTTTTTCAAAAACATAACAAACATGTCTACTGTATACTTAGCTGCTCTGTGCAATGGAAGTGCACATAGCGGCTGTGAACCTCCTCTTCTTGGGTTCCCCGCCGGTTCTTCTGGCCCCTCCTTCTCTGTCCAGTGCCCCCACGGGAAACCGATTCCCAAGGGGGCACTCATGCGTGATTGTACCCGAGCCTCGCTGCTGCGTCCATTGACACAGACAGTGGGACACTCCCCTGTCCCCCGCTCCCTCGTCACTGACTTTGACAGCGCTGGGAACCAATGGTTCCCGGTGCCCCAGCAAAGCCAGTGAGACACAGAAGAGAAGAGTTGCAGGCGTGCAGGGCGCTGGATTGAATGCGGGCTCAGGTAAGTAAAAGGGAGGCTGAGAGGGGGGATGATGAAGCTTAAACTTTTTAACATATTGGAAGGAATGCATTAAGGTAACAAATGTTTAGGCTTTAGAACCACTTTAACCTCCTTGGCAGTATTCCCGAGTGTAGCTCGGGGTAAAATTTCAGTACCACAAGTGGTAACCCTGATCTACACTCAGGAATACCATGCAGCGCTGCTTTGCGATCCCTCGATTACTTACCTTGTCCTGTGCTCCCGTGATGTCCCTCCTGTAGTGTCCCCGGCAATGTAATCCGGCGGATGCCAGCATCTGTCATCTAGGTTCCGTCCCATGCGAGCGTCGGACGTACGGGGACGGAACGGCGGGAAATTCAAAAATGACAAAAAGAGACATTCACTAAAATCACTAAAATCACATAGTAAAACATTACTGTATCAAAGCATTTCACATACATTTTGTCCCGAGTGCTTTGTCCTCTGCCCTGCCTGCATTTTTACTGTTCTTATTGCCTGGAAACTGAGAAACGTCCATGGTGTTCAAAAAGCGTCCCTTTATGTCAAAAGTGGTTTTAGACCAGCTAGAGAACAGCGATAGTAAATCAGATGCACTTGCAGAATTGAGTGATAATGATTTGTGGGGAAATTCGTCATCAGACACTGAAAACAATTTTGCAACTTTGCTCAGTGATGTGCGAACTTGGTGCTATATTTCAAATTTCAGTGTTTTTGGTTTGATTATATTATTGAATTAAATTTATTATTATTATTTTTTATGATTATTTATTAAAATACAATTTATGATTTCGTGTTTCAAGTTTTAACCTACCCGGGATGTTTACTAGACTCTTGTTCGGACAGATTTCAGTGAGTTATTCCTAAGAATTACAGGCCTACAATATAAAACGCAAACTTTCCATGCAAAATAATGGTACCACTTTCAGCAACAAAAATCTGAAATAATCATATCGCCAGGGAGGGTAAAGCAGACTTTGCAACAGAAGCACTGTCATTATTAATGTGTTCTCTTTTACGCTGATATTAACGATAAGCTTGCCCTTAACATAATCCAATGCCAGTTCATCATCTGGACATGCATCAAATGTGCTTCATAAAAGTGTTTCATAACTTTCTGGTAAGTCACTAAGTAATAGTGCAGCAAAATAAAAATCATTTTTCTTCTGCTATACCTCTCAAGTGTTCAACCATTTCCAAGGTGTGCCTTATGTAATCCTACATATTGTGGCCTTTAATCAGCCTGGTTTGGTATAGCTTTCTAATCAAATACAGTTTATTGCTAAGATTAGCACCTTCATACAGGTTTTGTAATCCTTTCTACATTTCTTTATCACACTTACTTATACTGTATGTGATTTGATCATATTCTATGCTAAGAGAGATTGTGTTCTGAGCTTTTAGTCTTTCTCTATGCACTCATCTTAAGAGTGTTCAGGCCTGACTGCATGTACACATATCCATGTACCTTCTCTTATTAGCAGCGTTTTCATTTTGAATTTCCAAGACTGGTCATCTGGTTTGTCAGATTTGCAAATTAAAGCTTTGTTGTAGCTGTGTTACTGGCCATTTTCTTTTTTCCTCGTAACCTGTTAGAAATGCTGTATATAACCCTATAAAACAGACAGTGCACAGTCTACATCTGCTTTTCTGCTTCACTGCAACAAGGAAACATGAAACTTTATTCAGAGAAAAGACCTAGTTTACCATCCATGAAGTTACAAACTTCTAAACACTGCCATCTACGGGTTGAAGAATATATTTCTACTGAATAGCGATGTAATTGTCGCACAAAATACATGAACACTGTATTTCAACAGTTTCCAATTTTACCCTTTGCAGCCCCAGAGTGGTTCAGAGCAGGGCTTGAAAAAGCCGATTGCCAAATGCGAGGGGAAATCCTTGTGTGGCGAGCACAGATGGAGCGCTCCACGCCTCATTGTGAAGCCAAGTTCCGGTATCCAACTTCCAGCTTCTTCTTCAGCACCGCCATTACACTGGCAGCGCCGCTGAGGGGACAGGTGCTACCACTGTAATTCTGCAGAGTGCCAGGACTGTATTGTCATATGTTCTAGCACCTTATATAATGTGTTGTGGGTGCCTGCTTGAGAAACAGCCTACAACTTTGGTTAAGTAATAAATATGGAAAAGTTCCCTAATTAAGTATTTTCATTTGCCAGGTGCCCTTTTATTGTTAGCAGATTGTGCAATCTTTACTATTTTATAGGCAACCTTGATTGAGCGATTTTTAATCTCTATTTTTTAGGCAGCCTTGAGCAATACTGCATGTCATGGATGTGTTTGTAACAGCAGGGGCACTTTAGTATTGGAATACTTCCAGCGGAATTTTATGGAAAACTGAAGCGCTTAAATTGTATATAAACCCTAATAATGAACTTCTCTTTTTTGCTCTTTGTTGGTTCAATAAACCTTAAAGTGTTTTGCTATATTTGGTTGATGAATGCAAAAAGATACCTGTTGACCTTGCCAAAGACCTACTGAGCTGAATATTTCCTGCACACCTTTCTGTTATCAGGAAGATTTATTCTCTGTTATGGAACATCTTCCACCTATGTTATGAAGATGAGAGGAGTTGTTCCACAGTCTTTTACTATGATGACGAGTACAGTGAGTGAGCGTTGTCATCCTAGGACAGGAGGTATGGTACTGTTAGGATCATCCGGCAAATATTTAGAAAAGAAACCTGAAAAAAGAAAATTAATGCAGCTACCACATCTAAGGACTGATAAGCTGCAATATATTACATTTTGCTCTTGGGTTGAGATACACTGAAAGGGTTCCCTTTCCTGCATTGACCATAGGAAGCTGGATGCATATAGAAAGGTGCTTATTTTTTACTCATGTGGACTCTATAGGGATTAAGCTCTATGCAAGGGTTCTTTCAGTTAATGAGCACAAACATGCAAAGAGGAATAGTTAGAGGACTGTTGGTTGTTAATTGGGATTGCTCCTTACTGGTGGCTAGAGAGTGTACATATTTGTTATGCTTCTATTTCATTATTAAAAGGAGAAGTAGGGTCAAAGATCTTTTGGCCCTACTACTCTTGTGGGTCACAGGAGTGCACTTAGTTCTGCTCTCCTGTGACCAGTATTAAGTGGAGAGCAGGCTAAAGTCCTCTGTCAGCTGATGTCACTGAGCTGGTCCAGGGTCTAGAGAGATATTGACTTTAAAGTCGGGATCCACCTAGATTCCTGACTGGAAGCTGGCTCAACCTCTCAGCGAGCCAATGAGAGGCTGAGCCAGTCGCTCCCACCCCCTCCACAGCCTGGCACTCAAGTGAGGACTGAAGATGGAGAACTGAGTGATCAGCAGTCTTTGATCACTCAGTTCTCGGTCTTAGAGGCGGTGGGGGACAAGTGCTGCATTGCATCTACCTGGATAAGTATGTGTGTGTTTTTTTTATTCCCGAATTGCTCTTTTTAATTGTTTCAGTTACACAAAATATGTTTTTGCATCTTTTTAATGCCTTTCTTGAGAGATTTCTCCTCACTTCCTGCTATGCTGGCCACTGGCTCTGGGGCAGAACGTAATGGAAAAGTTGCCCGTGGAGACGTGGACAATAATAAAACCCCAACAGGGGCTATAATTTTTTTCCACTACACTAAAACATGTCCTCCTGTCTTTATTGGAAAAATGTAGGGCTCATGTTGGTGGGTGTTCTTGTTAAATGCTGCCTTTGCTATTGGAAAGCAAATGCATGCATTTGAAAGGGAAACAATGTTTGACAAGAATAGGCTGCGATTGACCTACTTTGCCTGCAGTTGAAATGCACCTTAACAGGGCATGCTGCATCCAAAGGAATGCAACACAAAACAGCACTCTCTGAACTGTTAAATTACAGTCAATACGATTTTTCTGATCTGCATTTGCTATATTCCAAATGCATGTCAAATCTAAGAAAACAATGCCTGTCAACATGAGCCCTTGCCCTCACGTCTGGCCTGAAGGATCACCATCACTGAAATAGGAAGTGAGGGAAAATCTTACACAATAGAGGCACAGGCAGTAATAATATTCTAATTTCTGTTCCACTATCTATGAACTAAATTTTACTTTATATGTTTCTAATTTTCATCACAGGCTATATTTCTTCAGCAACTGCAATTAAGATATTTGCAAAATCAGGTAAAAATTCTTGTAAAGTTGAATCTACATTCTCTAGCTGACATGTTATTTTTAGTTGCAGACAATTTCTCCTATTCAACCTTTTTAACTTTTTATATGTGTTTATTAGCATTATAAAAGAGAGTGGTTTGGCTATAGGTTTTTCATTAATCTCTTGTCTTGGTGCTTGAGGTCTTTGATCCTTTAAATAAGTTCTAAAGGTAGAAGGTTTTTTACTTTAAGGCAATCTCTGCATTAAGGAAAGAAACGTTCTGTGTGCAGCTTCCCCCTTCACCACCCCCTCTTATACTTACCTGAGCCAGATCTTGATGCAGCGATGTGCACGAGCACAAAAGCTAATTTCATAAATTTCATTTAGAGCAGCGCTAATTTAAAGCAGCACAGTTTATTCATGAAATGGTTTTTGTACTCATTGTTTTGATTATATAGCAGTTGTTTTAATCCGCAGCAGGCAAATTCATAGGAATCATTTATTTACACATTTTATGCACTTTAACTTACCATTTCCTAGGCACTAGATCTTTTTAGTCTCTCTTGATGTGCATGAGCAATGACTCACTTCTCATTGACTCAGAGACCGCCATTGTCTCCTGCTGCTGTCAATCACAGGCAGTGAGGAGGGAGCGGGAGCGAGCCACTCCATTTGTGTGAATGAACACACAGAGCACGGCTCGGTAGAGAATCCTCATGAGTGCCCCAATAGCATTGTCTTGCTATGAGGGCACTCACTGGGAGGGGGGAGAGCTCAGAAGACGGTTTGTTATTACAAAAAAAAATAAAAATTATCCTTTACAATCACTTTAAGGCTTGGCTCACACTGCTGCGGCTTGGGATCCGACTTGTGAGACCCCAAGTCACATGACATGTGAAATCCCATGTTAGTCAATGAGAGCTCTCTTAATTAGCACTACTGAAGTTGCTCCAACTTTAGAAAAGGTTCCTGTACTACTTCAAGATGACTTCTATCTGACTTGTGCCCATAGACTTTAATGGAAGTCGCCTTCAAGTCCGATCCTCATCTATATTGATGTGATTTGGATTCAACATTACAGGAAGATTACCCAGGCATTCCCTGAAAGTTGTTTCAGAGTTGATTCAAAGTTGCTTCAAAGTAGTACAGAGTTGCTTCAAAGTCTCTTTAAAGTAGTACTCAAATTGCTTGGCAAAGTCGCACTGAAGTCATGCAACTTTCAGGTCACAGTAGTGTGAACCAAAACTAACAGACACAGACTAAAAGGCATAAAAAATTGTTTGGCTCTTCTAGCATCTAGCATCTGTTCACATATCTGCACTTAT